CATTGAGGCCATTGACTCCGATTTCAGCCTGCTTTTCTTTTTGGATTTGCTTCCATAGCCTTTGTCCAACCAAGAACAAACTACAAGGCAGCAGTTGTTTAATTTTGGAGTTGTCTCTCCTAGAAGAGTGACTGTCCCCAGCTAACGAGCCTCATCTGCCCGAGGGTTCGAACTCGAGACTTTCGGTTTAGCAACCATGAGCTTTACCGACTCGACCCCTTTAACTTTTCAGATAATTTCATCTTCGATGACAATGCAAGAATGTTTAAATTTTAATCTAATTAAATAGACAATGAGATCAGCCTGTTTAAAACGTTGAACTTACTTTTAACGATCACAATCAACTAGTCGGATTTCAACAACAATATTTTTAGTCGTAGCCTATGTAGTATCAAATTCATTCTCATTGTACAACAAAAACGGATAATAAAACGAATACATTTTTTTTATAATAACAAGCGTATAAATGCACCGTAAACAAGAAATTAAAACAGCACATTTTCTATAGTAAAAGCTTTGGTCGCTAAAATATGTAAGAGATGTCATTGGCGACCAAAGCTTTTTATTAAAGAAAGCAAGTTTGTTTTATTTTAAGATTTTCAGTGCATTTAAACGCTCGTTATTATTATTATTACGTGTATATATATATATATATATATATATATATATATATATATATATATATATGTATATATATATATATATATATATATATATATATATATATATATATATATTTATATACGTATATATATATATATATATATATAGACCTTTATATTAATATATATATATATATATATATATATATATATATATATATATATATATATATATATATATATATATATATACATATATATAAACTTTATAACGTTTCTATTTAGTTTTCCTAGGTGTAATACAATAAACGTTGCACAGTTGCATTCGCATAATTCTGTCATCGACCTCATCAAAAGATAATTATATTTCTATCAATTAGATTTTTATAGATTCTGACCAATTTACTTATCAGATGTACATGCGATATAGTATACATTATTTAATACCTAATTCAATTCAACACATGCAAAAATACCCGAAGAATTAAACCGGGAGTGATCTCCCCTAAACTTTCTCGAATATTCTTATATAAAACAACAGGGAATGGGAACTCGGGATATAGTTATGATTTTTAATCCATTTTAAATACTTAAACTATTTAAAATAGAATAGAATCTCATAGAAAAAAGAATTGCGCACCAAGCGAACAGCAAATAAAGATGTTCATATTATTAGTACTTTATAAATTTACATTCGTTTTTTGAGAAATCGGAAATTAGTACTTCCGGTCAATTGAAATTACTCAAAATTTAAGGGAAGGTAGAGAATTAGATCTCTTACTTACATGTGAAATTTCATTTAACTATCTGAAATAGTACTCAAGTTATAGGCTTTTGAAAAAATTCAAAGTAGAAAAAGTACCACTTCCGGTTATCAGAAATCGCTCAAAAGTAGTTACGGATCTACGATTTTGATAAAATACTTATGTATGAAATTTCATCAACATAGCTGTAACGGTACTCAAGTTATCGTGTTTACACACACACAGACACACTCAAAGACACACACAGACACACAGACATACGGACAAGATTGCAAAATTATGTTTTTTCGTATCAGTGAGGTGTAAAGCGTCGAGATTTGAAAAAATCTCGATTTTTTTTGCACGATTACAAGACTTTCTCTATACTTCGTTAATACGAGAAAGTAAAAAATAAACCTACAAGCATGGACTGTATCACTCAATGCATTCATTCACTAGCGATCAGGGCATGTCGCGCTGAGATGTTGCCATGCATGAATTACATCCCGTTATGTATTACATTACCAATTCAGATCAACTGACCCGACCCGTCCAAAAACTGCTGTGATAGATCAGTTCATGGCCGCTAGACCTTATCTCATCACTGAATAATTAACGATAGTGGGAGCTTAAAGTACCCATATATATATATATATATATATATATATATATATATATATATATATATATATATATATATATATATATATATATATATATATATATATATATATATGTATATTTATTTATTTATTTATTTATATTTATTTGTATTTATATATATATAGTGGGAGCTTAAAGTACCCATATATATATATATATATATATATATATATATATATATATATATATATATATATATATATATATATATATATATATATATATATATATATATATATATATATATATGGGAGCCGGACGCATTCCCAAAAGCGACTTCCCCGAATGCGATTTCCTTGAATAGAAACTTGTCCCAATGCGAGAAACGCCAAAATTGACACTTGCCCGAATGCGACAAATGCCCGAATGTTTGTTGCTTCGTGTTGTTTATCAATATTTAATAGCATAGATCAGTTAAATTATGTGATGCGATCTCGTATTATGCCATCCTTAGAACAGTATTTTAAACTCTTGTGACAGTCATTTATATCATGGTAGTCCCCCTTGTTCTCGTTGTTTATTTACATGGGACTTAACTCTAACTAGCGGTAATCTCCCCTCAACAAGCACAAGCATAGTTCCGTAATCAAGGAAACGATTTTAAAAACTAGTCTTCTTTCTACTAACGAACAAATCAGACTTAACGTAAAAAACAGTTTCGAAAAATTATTGTAAAAAGAACTTCGTTTAGTATATTTGTCATAATTTCTATACGCAAGGAAAATTTTCGTTATGCTGGTCTGGATAAGAGTAGTAACTACATTTAAATATTTACAACAAAAAAAATAAGATGAATATGTAGCGGAAAGCGATTTCTACTTCTTTTGTTGTTGTAAAAATTGATTATGGATCTGATTTATTAAAATTATTAAGCACTGTTGCTCTGGCAAATATTTATTGAATATACAAAATAATAGAGAGCTGGACTGCTAACCCGTAAGTCTCTAGTTCAAATCCGGATTTAAGTCAGTACACCTTCACTGTGACCACGTTAGGGAAAGCAAAGGCGGCTGGGCATAGTGCTGACCACACCATCTCTTCATATGTCGAGGTCACAGAAACAAGTGAACTCTACTTCACTTGCCCTATAGACCGTCAGGTTTGAAAAGTGAGCTATGCTTTTTTTTTTTAAATAACATCCTCACTAAAACTTTAATTTGAAGTTATTTTTTTTCGTTAAACCTTTTCTTTAGTTTCAATAAGTTATGGAGACGACAATGTCATTGCGTAAACGATTCTTCAACCCTTTGCCTGTCTGAACTAATTTAAATTAATTTTTCTATAGCCTCGTTGACCGGCTTATGTTTTTGTTTAGTTTTTTGTTAAAAACAGATCACATCTCGGCTCTAATGATTTTCGGTTAAATGAGAATGACAGACAACGGAAACGGAATATTTTTATGTCCAACTTTTATTACAGGAAATCGTTCATTATCCCAGTTATTGCCCTTGGACGTCAAGTCTTATCCTATTGTCTCCCCATATGGGCGATAACTCTCCATTAAAAAACAAAGATCAGCCAATATTTTTTTTTTAAATCCATGACCTGTGTTATTTTGCTTATGTTTTTAGCTTTAATAAAATATTCCAACGCATTGTGTTTTTTTAAACTTGTGAACCAAAAGCATTAACGCGATTCATTAAAGTAGCCCAACTTTTAACGTTAAAAAATACACTCTACGGCTCTGTTGGTAACCATTAATGAAACAAAATCAACACAAGAAGAGACTTTTGAACTATTTGTTCATCATGTATATTAAAAATACTAACACATATTTTAATTATAAGATCTGCCCACGCTATTTTTTTTTAGCGTTTTCTATTTTCAAACATAACCGCGTTTTAATAATTAATCAATAATTAGAATAATTTTAAATTGAAGCACATCGCATAAGCCGAAACAATAGGCATGAGAGGCATCAGGTGAACTAGGGGAAACAAATACTTTCAGTTTTTGTTTTTTAGTTCTTTAGCTCTGTAATAAAAGTCAAGATTTAAATACAAAAATCTAAGCTATCATAACGAAATTAGCTAAGTATTTATCATTGGAGTATGTTTTTAGTCCTAAAGCTCCGAAATAATAGTCGTGATTAAAAAACAAACCTCTAAACTATCATAACTAAAGTAACCAAGTATTTATCATTGGAGTATGTACTTAAAGTATAGTTCCTCAACCCGAAACCGAGAGTGTATAATTTGTTAAATAGAGAGAATTTAATACCTGTATTTTTTAAACTGTTTCAGAGAAACCTTTGATATTGTTTCGTGTAATGTTACAACGGGTATTAATGCATGTTATTTGAACCACTGCTAGTTATATTTTACGGCCGTACTTTGTAAGTTAAAACCCCGGGGAAAAGACACAGTTGGAATACTTTCAAAATTAGGCTTGATATTGATACTAATTTTAAGCTGTATTTTCATATAGACGCCCTAGCTGATTATGTACTTTACTAAACTTTTTAAAAGTTCTTTTAGGGTAATATATCGTTGTGTGTGTCGCATGAATGTAAGGGGAAGTAATAATAGCCTTATATTGTTTTAGACAATTGTTTTTCTAAAGTTTTAAAAGTTGGTTCGATTTAACAAGGACCTTAATGTCTGTGTAATGTGTAGGTTCTGCATTTATACTTTTATTTGTTCCCTTCCTGATGTCGTGGTTCTCCTAGTTCCGAATTTCTCCTTCGGATGTAGTGGTTGTAATCTACTGGTTCCATCTGTTTTTGTCTTGGTTCCTCGACTAATGTCGTGGTTCCCTTAGTGGTTGTATTCTACTGGTTCCATCTCTTATGTATTAGTTCCCCGAATAGATTCGTGGTTCCCCGAATACAGTCGTGGTTCCCCTAGTGGTTGTATTCTACCGGTTCCATCTCTAGTTGTCTTAGTTCTTTACATATTGTCGTGGTTCCCCTAGTGGTTGTACTTTACTGGTTCCATCTTTTGTTGTCTTGGTTCCTCAATTGTTTGGTTCCCCACATATTGTCCTTGTTCACTTAGTAGTTGTATTCTACTTGTTCCATCTCTAGTCGTGATTCCCCACATATTGTGGTGGTTCCCCTATAATTGCGTTGGTTCACGTCTCTTGTGGCTTCACTCAAGTGGTTCCGTTCCTTAAGTCGTGGTTCCCTTATTGATGTCTCTGTTTCCCTCTTCTTGCCTTGGTTCCCCTCTTGTTTGTCTTGGTTCCCCTCTTGTTTGTCTTGGTTCCCCTCTTCTTGTCTTGGTTCCCCTCTTGTTTGTCTTGGTTTCCCCTTGTTTGTCTTGGTTCCCCTCTTGTTGCCTTGGTTTCCCTCTTGTTGCCTTGGTTCCCATCTTGTCTTGGTTCCCCTCTTGTTGTCTTGGTTCCCCTCTTGTTGCCTTGGTTTAACCTGTTGTTGTCTTGGTTCCCCTCTTCTTGCCTTGGTTCCCCTCTTGATGTCTTGGTTCCCATCTTGTTGTCTTGGTTCCCCTCTTCTTGTCTTGGTTCCCCTCTTCTTGTCTTGGTTCCCCTCTTCTTGTCTTGGTTCCCCTCTCGTTGTCTTGGTTCCCCTCTTGTTGTCTTGGTTCCCCTCTTCTTGCCTTGGTTCCCCTCTTGTTGTCTTGGTTCCCCTCTTGTTGTCTTGGTTCCCATCTTGTTGTCTTGGTTCCCCTCTCGTTGTTTTGGTTCCCATCTTGTCTTGGTTCCCCTCTCGTTGTCTTGGTTCCCCTCTTGTTGCCTTGGTTCCCCTCTTCTTGTCTTGGTTCCCCTCTTCTAGTCTTGGTTCCCCTCTTCTTGCCTTGGTTCCCCTCTTGTTTGTCTTGATTCCCCTCTTGTTTGTCTTCGTTCCCAATTCTTGTCGTACCACCACTTTAACATGCCATTCCTCGTGTCTTGGCTTCCCTTGTATGTGTCATGGTTCCTCTCTTGCTGTCTTGGTTCCCGTCCGTCTTAGTTCCTTTCTTCTCGACTTCCACTCTTCTTCTTGTCACGGTACCCCATCATCTGTCTTGCCCCCCCCCCCCCCCCACCAATCTAGACTAGTTGTCCCCCATTCCAGTCACAAACTAGAAGAAAGACAGATCTAGGGTATATCATAAATTGTCAACATCGATCAATAATATACATCCAACATTCTTACTTTCTTCAATAAAATATTGTTATTGATCAGTGGCGTAGAGAGGTCGGGTGTCACCCGGTTCGGCACTTAATGGTGTCACCCCCCCCCCCCCCCAGGGGCGTAGCGACCCATCCCGCGGACACACTTTCAATTTTCGATTTTCAACCCTCCCCCCGCCCCCAAAACTTTCGATTTGCACCCCCCACCCTCAAACTTTCGATTTGCACCTCTTAAAAGACTATTTAACACTCGAATTAATCACTTAATTAAGTGGAATTATCATTTTTCTCTATATATTTTGCTATTTTATGCCTTGGTGTCACCCCCCCCCCCCCTAAATGGTGTCACCCGGTGCGGTCCGAACCACCTCCCCCCCCCCCCTCGCTACGCCACTGTTAATGATAAGTTTTCGGTTTATCAGAGGCAAAAAAATGTACTACTTTTAATATCTTTCTACAGAGCTCGATTTAACCTACATTCATACAACTATAAAAACATATTACAACAACTATAAAAACATATTACAGTGAACCTGGGTCGACTGATCTTTGCTATAAAAAAAAAAAAAAACGTCATCCCTTAAAATACATTTATAGAAAACAATTTTTTAATGGTAGAAATTATTTTTTTCCCGCAAGCAATCAGTCTGTTGGTAAAAACTTAAAAAACGACTGTCTCAACAAGAACTAGAAAACAAAACGACACTTTTTCAAGTACTTTTAAAGATCGCGGACTAAGCGATTTTTGTTTTCTTTAAATTTAACCAATCCGTAAAATGCCAACAATTTTAACAAAGTGATGCAATCTCTATCAATGTTGTGAGTTGAATTTAATTTTAAAGGTTACTTTAAATAGCCCGTTGAGATATTTTATTTCGAGTTAAATGTTAAGCCAGATTCGATTTTATTTATTAAGTTCTTAGCAATCTTCTCCTGCTAATGAAGACACTAATTCCTATAGTACAGCTGTCCATATTCGGCTTAATCTGGGATATTGCTGAATATAATCCGGCTTCTGTTATTTGAAGGGCAACGAAGTAATTTTTTTTTATTGGCATGTATAAAAATACGACCTCGAACAGTGTGCGATTCTGTTTAAAAATCTACAACTGATACTAGTGAAAAAAATTGACTTATTGTAGTTAATGTCAGTTAAGGCAACGAGATCTTGGAAAACTATAAGGGCAGGTCTATTATTATAAGCAGTTTAGAAGAGCTTCTTTAAGGCATCTTTTCGATTGGGGGGGGGGGGGGGGGGGGGGATTCAAGGACAGTTGGGTAGCCATCAGAGCTGGCTGAACTCGGGGACTTCCTCCCGACTTGAACCCGGATTCGAACTCGAGACTTTGGGGTTACTAGTCTAGCGCTCTACCACTTGGCCACGCCGCCCCTTAGTCATAGAGTGGGTAGCGACAGGGTGTGTAGCCGCATAGTGGGTAGCGATAAAGTGGGTAGCCATATAGTGTAGCGACAGAGTGTGGGTAGCTATGGAATATGGGTAGCCACATCTTGTGGGTAGCGACAGTGTGGGTAGCTTTAGAGCGTGGGTAGCCACATTATTTTCGTTAGAAACAAAACAGGAAGTACGCCCCGAAAAAAAAAATCATTCATATTCATTAACGGTATTCGTTGACAGACACCGAACTTTAAAGACAGAGCAATCATCAGTCATATGACCGAACCCTGAGTCAGATGACTTGTGTTGTTTGCGTCCATCTCTTTAATCCATCACCGTCAAGAAATTAGATTACAGCCAACGATAAAGTTACTGATGGAGTAGACTCGTTTTTCTGTTCTACTTTGTTGTTTTGTCTGTGCATTAAAAATATTGGAAAGGGTATTTTCGGTAAACGAAACAAAAGATTAAAATTTGAAAATCCAGCTTATGAGAATTTAAATATTAAATATATAAAAAAAGAAAATGCAAGTTTTTTTTTAATCGAAGTTAAATGATAGCTTGCCATTTACTAAAGTAGATTAAAAAAAACTTAAATATCGGTTTCTAAGCGTAGGATTCGTATAATCGAATTTGTTTCTAAATGAAGCAGTGTCAGACTTGCTATCTTTTTCCTTAATATCTGGAAAACTCCAGTAATCTGATTCTAACTTGACTTAATTGTCATTTAACTGTTCGTTTGAAACGTGATTGCATTTGGTTATAGACCTATACTTCCTTTATTTGATATTTTTTTACAGTCAGTCTTTTAAATAAAATAAATTTTCCATAAGTATTTCTTGTGAAGGAAAATTTAATCATTTAAACTGATGTGATCTCTATGCGAAAATATATGAACTGACAATTACCTTTTATGTCTATACTTTGTTTCTAAATAATACAAATGTCCCCTATGTAATATTCGTTAGTATGTTAATTTTACACTGAAACAGGCTATATTTTAAATGCATCTTTCATAAAAAGTGTGAAACTCAAGTCTAAAATCTAACGCTATTAAGTAAATGAATAGGAAGTAGCATCAGTACAATATTTTAATTTATACATGTGTGGCTGTGGTTTTATAATAATAGAGCTACGGTTTATAATGTAACTGTAATCTATACCTTTGTACTTATAGTCTATCAAAACTATAGCTAAGGCTAACATTAAATAAGTGGACCGTGTTGCTTAGGTGACCATCTTTTCCTGTTCGTGCTCAGGATACATGAGGAAGATGAAGTAAAGTTTATTAGTTTAAGGAAAACTCGTCGTATGAAAGGATAGTGTCGTCGGCCCTATACCCAGCCGCCTTTGGTTTTTTTTAACGTGAGTTGGGTACCCAGCAGAGTTAGTGGACTTAGTGGAGTTCTTGACCCTGATTTGAACTTGAGACTTTCTTATTGCTGAGTTATAGTCGTGAGTTTATTACTTCCTATAAAATCCACATCGACAAACTATTCTTACGCGTGACATACTTTTATGTCTAATGACTGTCCTCCCACTCCCACCAATGTTTATGAATACCGGACTAAATTATGTTTTATCTCATACTCTCGTTCCTCAAATTTTCCATCACATCCAGTCGGTCAGCGTGAGCACCCTCTATTGACGTGCAGCACTCACTGAACCCTCCCATTCCGCGCCCAATATAATTGGCCAGTCACCAAACGTATGGCCTCTCTCGCGCGCTCTACCGCTCACACCGGTGTCATGAGACTATCAGACATAGCGATAATCTTATGTTAACTCGGACCATGGTTATCATTGCACGATGATTACTATTTGTATTTTTAAGTTGAGTAAACGACTCATACATTAAACAGGGAAAATTGAGTTGAAATAAAAAAAAAAGTTTGGATATTTTATTTTCCAACTTTGGTTGTTGTCCAGATCAAATACAGGTAATTATAGATAGATATACGCAGTGTTAATTAAGGTTTGATTTGTTGAGAGTTTAGGATATGATTATAGATAGAAATACGCAATGTTAAATAGGGTTTGATCTATTTAGAGTGTAGTATTTAATTACACACACACACACACACATATATATATATATATATATATATATATATATATATATATATATATATATATATATATATATATATACGCACTGTTAATTAAGGTGTGATCTGTTGAGAGTTTAGTATCTAATTATAGATAGATGAAGTGTTAATTAAGGAGTGATCTGTTAAGAGTTTAGTATTTAATTATATATATATATATATATATATATATATATATATATATATATATATATATATACGCAGTGTTAATTTTAAGGTTTAATCTGTTTAGGGTATAGTATCAAATTATAGATCGATAAATGCAGTGCTAATCAAGGATTAATCTTTTTATAGTTTGGTAATCGTCGCGTTGATTTAAGTCATGTTAAATTGTTATATGAAGTGTCGGTTAAAGGTTTATCTGTATAGACATGTGTGAGCCGGATGTAACTATTGTGAGGGTAAAGGTCAAGCGGAATAGTTTGTTGACCTCTGAAGAAAAGTTGTGGTATTTTTTTTTTAATTTACTGGATTAGGCGCAGGTGGTCATTGGATTAATTCACTAATTAACTCTCAGAGGATTAACGTTGTGTGAGTAGATGGTTAATTATATACTTAATGTAATTCCAGGTTAGTAAATGAAGTAGATGATTAATGTATTAGCTTAAAAGTATAGGATGTACTTGGTTTAATTTAATATCTAAGTGATAGAGAATTAAAATATTCACCAGACATATGTCTGGCGCATATTTAATGTAAATCTGTGAAACAATTAGATTTAAAATGTGTCCAAAACATATTCAAATTAAAAATGTATGTTAAAAAATCAATTATAATGTGTCAAAAACATATTCAGTTTCACATTTGCAAACGTAATATTTTTTAATAGCGTTGTGTAGACTGGAGACTGTTTACGTTGTATTTTATTTCAAAATTTGGCAGTTTTGGTCCTGCCAAATTTTGTTTTCGCACTTATATTAGAAAATGTTGATATATATGTAACTAGGGTAGGCCTAACTACTAGTTACAATCTGATGCAACTGATAACGAACGATAAGCCGCGACGCAGTATTACAGTCTGATGCAACTGATAGCAGGTGGCTTATTAAACCGGACTGATAACAATCTCAA